CTTCCGATCTCTGTAGTCCTAGACTAGGGTACATTTTTATTTACGTCGGACAAAGCTACATTTCGGTCGGACACCAATAGTCAATACACTCGGGTCGGACAAACAATAAACCTCAGTTTTACTTCGGTCGGACAGAATGTCCGGTGGTTTCCTCTCTACGTCGGACAATTTCACGAATGGGTCGGACAATGTCCGTGACCAACCGATATTTTAAGGCCTGGCCACCGGCAACATTTTGATTTACGTTGGACAAAGGCGTCAAAGCAACAGTTCGGTTGGACACTAATTCACTCGTGTCGGACAAGCAATAAACCTCAGTTTCACTTTGGTTGGACAGAATGTCCGGTGGTTTCCTTTGTACGTCGGACAATTTCACAAATGGGTCGGACAATGTCTGTGACCGACTGATATTTTAAGGCATGTCTTCATCAGTCCTGTGACTCCTTTCCTTGTGTCCCCAATAGAAAATTATTTTAGGTTATTTTTCAAGAACATGTACTGACAATAATTTGATCAGGCTAATGTCAGTTTAGTTAATAATAGGCAGTTTCACCCTGGCTCACAATACGTTAAAGGTTATTATTTATGTTTTCAGCTAAAGTTTAAACTGGTGAAGGAAGGTGGCAAACCAGGAGAGTTGATTGTTAAGAATTGTGAAGAAGAACATGCGAATATAGTTGTGTTAGGGTCACGTGGTCAGGGTGCTGTGCGTCGCACATTTCTTGGAAGTGTTAGTGATTACGTTGTTCACCACAGTCATGCTCCTGTGTGTGTTGTACCGCCAGAAAAACATTGATATCCGATCATGGAACTGGTCTAATTTAGTGATTCTATATTGATTTAACCATCTATACGTGACAATATAGTAACCAATTATATTATATTCTGTTTGTAATGTATACTATTGTAATGTAGCACTGGATTGGGCACTAAAGTTAAGTCTGTTTTCTACAAAGTCGTAACGTACCATGGAATTTTGGTTTGTAGAGCCAGAAGTACTCAGGACCACAGAATTTCTCAACATTTCAGTACGGATATGGTTTTGAACCTCTCTGGTAATAAAAAAGTTGTGGATTGATAGGGATACAACTACCTGAGAAATACAAGGAGAACTTTGACGTCTCGAGTGAAGATCCTTCGTCAGGAAGTTAGAAAGCATGTATTTTTTCAGGGAGTTGCATCCCTATATCAATCCGCAGCTAGATGTATTCCTGTAACAGCGATATCGACCATATAACCAAAATCATCCGTTCGTCTTATTCATGAAAATGTCAATAAAATTTCAAAAACGCGTTGATTTCTGTTTATGATTGTCCGTTAGTGCCCTTTCAAACGGACTATAGACAATTCCTCTCGATTGTCTTTGTCACGCAACAATGTTGGGATATATTTAACTGCCTAATCTTTTCAAATCTTTTGGATGGTATCGTAAAATCCGTAAACTATGCTTTAAAATATTTGCAGAAATATTTGAAAATTAGTTGGATGGTGTTGGGCCAACAAATTAGGTCGGTTGGTTGGTTCAGATTAGAGACGTTCAGATTTGACAACCGCTACTATTAAAAGAATATTAACCATGCAGGGGTCGGTTGTATAAAACTCTTAATCACTTTTTTAATCACTATTTTGTAGTTAAATAGTGATTAACTCTCAAATAGGCGCTTCTTATTGAATGACGTTTGCACTTAACCATAGTTAACTTTAATCACTTTTTATACAACCGGCCCCAGATGCGTTTCATATATTGGATTAATTAACCAATCAGATGTGAAGCGGTAGTGGAAGTCAAATCTGAACGTCTCTATTTTGAATTCTACTACTGCTAGCCTATCTATAAATAGGGCCACCCAGGGGGGGGGGGGGGG